ATCAGCGCGTTGAGTGCCGAAGATTCCGTGTATAATTAAAAGATCTTAAGGACATTAACATAGCTTGTTTCTCTATAAGTGCCTCTTTTTTGATAAGCGGGTTTGACTGTTGGTGAAAACGAAATAAAAGAACGGAAAATAAATATTGACAAATTACAAAGGTTTTTTAAAACTGATCCTTGTTCAAAGATTTTACACGACTGCCTCGTTGATCTAGATGGGGCTTGTTGGAAGATACAAATTCTCTGATATCAAAATCATATTAGCATGCAACGTCATTTCAATTTATCTATAAGCATGTTTTAAGAAATCGTTAAAAATTGGTAAAAATTTCTTTGGCGAACAGCAAAAAAGCCAATTCATTGAAGGAAGTTCTTTTTTTTTTGTTTTTTTTTCTTCATTTCCGCTGAATTGGCATCGATCAGTGAGTGGCGTTCATTATTCCAGCGATTCCGTGTAACATGATGACGTTTTCTCGCTTCACTTAATCTGTTTCTCTGGAGAAAAGAGAGCTTTACCGTTTAGAGTCGGTTTAGGTAAAGAAGATTTATCAGTTTAATAGATGAAAAATGAAAATGAAAATATTAGAGTTGCCTGGGAAAACAAGAGTAGACTGATAAGAACCCATATATAATCTATCAAATAGCGGAACAATTGTAAAAATGCTACGTGTCATATCAAATTCAGAGATTATCTAAGGAACGGGATGTGGGAGTGAAGACTGATTTACTGAGCCAGTCAAAATGATTTGATTTGAAATGAAATTAAAAAAATAGCTAGAAATGTACTGATACTTACGTGTAATGCAGACACATGCAAGTCCGAACGGTCGCTTCTCAGAAATGCCTTTATCGAGTTTCTCTTTCTGTTCGCGACCAGCGTCTTGACTTATATAGCATATGCGGGAATAATTTAGAACTTTTATTTTGTTTTTTGTATACTGATATATGCTTATCAAATTGCTCTTTGACAGTGATACACTTTTATAACTGTAGTTTATCTCCTCAAATAACATTCTGTTATCTGTGTCTTCCTTGTTTTTTGACTTAAAATCTGAGTAATAAAGTTTTCCTGCATTACCCGCATATGCATCATTAAAGTTAGAAAGTTTTAGATAAATGAAAAAATTACTCACACAATTTTCTCACCATGGTAACTCTTCAACTAATGAAGATTTTAGATTGGCCATCTTAAAAATGTTTTAACTAATCCTAAGTTTCAAAATTAAATGCTTTTAACTTCCTTTTTTATCCATTAAAGCAAGGATATCATCGATTTAATTGACAGAAGATACAGTAGATAAAAGTCATTAGAGTCCATGTTCCGTAAGATATGAGTCTTCCTCTTTGCATCTATGTTCTACTATTTAATTCTACTTTCTTTAAGAAGAAATTGTACATACGCGTAAACTTTATTCAAACAAGGAAAAAAAATATTTGGTCATTTTTTAGTACTCAGTTTTGAAGCAGATTTCCTGCCTTCATTTAGAAACAGTGACTTAGCATTTACAAAATAAATGTCGCGGAAAGGCTTCCCCTTTGGCGAGAATTTTGTTGATGAAACGGTCCCTTTCCTCTTTGCTCCTCTCTTGTCGATGCTAGCTGATAAAAAGGACATGCAGACACTACGAGTAGAGCGGTATGTCTCACCAAAATGGTGATAGTGCTTTTTGATTGTACTTAACTACAAATTAAGTAGTTACATGACAGTTTTTGCTTTAATTCCTTTTTTTTTTTTCACGCCCTTGCGGAGGCTAAGTTTTACCATAAGTGGTTGGTTTACCTCCGCTCTCCCAAACGAAGTCTGCAGCAATCAAACAGAACCGATACGATAGTATTGAAATATAACAAAAATGATGGTAATAATAATGATAATAAATAATAGTAATGACAATGTTTCAAAAATTAACAAAATTCAATAAGTTTAAAAGATTTTACTCGCTGAACAAGACAGAAAGATCTCTACAAAGTTTAACAGGGCAATTAAATAAGCATTATCAACTGAATTGATAGCGTGAATTGGCCACCGTAAAGAGTTTCAAAGCCGTCGTTTCGAGCGTCAGCTCTTCATCGAGGCAATTTTGTCTAACAAATATATCCTAAGATGCCGTGCGTCTCCCGGATGACGTCAAAGTGTGATAAGAACTAAAATTTGGCACACGAGGTGCGGCCACACACTTTAAACCGTCTTGTCACTTCCGCTGTCGTGAAGTAAGTACTTATCTAACTGGATCACAAATTATTTTATTTTTTCTATTGTTTTTAAAAGATTAAATCTCGTCACTGACCCCGCTTCATTAATCTTCAAGTACGTTTCTTCGAAAATTACGCAATTTAGTCCAACATTTTAAGCAGCGCGTTCATTGAATTTAGCTTCTCTCCTGCACGTTCCATCTATTCTCTGTTTTTTTTTATTTAAAAAGACTCGCGACTGAAAAAAAAGTATTTGTAAACAAATTATTAGATCATTAATGTAGCTACGATTGTTTGCAGAAGCAATTAAAAAGCATAATCAATGCACACTCCAGTAGTGCAAAATTTGAACTCTACGAAACAAAATTTAAGTCTACGGTTACATCTGAAAGTAAGCAAATAAACGCTACAATGCTCCTAGTGTGTCTTGATTTTTGCATGCCTTGAAGCATTTGTCGAGACAGGAAAACATGACATCTTGTCATGGTACGCGGTTACTTCAAGATGTTAATGTTGATGTCGATTTTGTGGGTGGAAATTGTCTGTGATCAGAAGTATTTCCTTTTGACGTGATCGGGAGAAATCCGCTACAGTCCGCTGACGCTCTACGTGTAGGTGTGCACGTCGAAGTGGTTTGACACAATGAGACACTCTTAGTTCCCGTGACACAAAAGTGATGGTCTAGTAGACATGTTTCTTGTGTATCGCAGATAAATTGCATTTCCATAATTTTCTTCGGGTGCCACCTCACTTCAACGCACCGTTAATTTTCAAGTACCTGAATTGTGCAATGGTATAACTACTTTAAGCGATACCCTCACTGTTTGTATTCTTTCACTTGCGTGTTAGTTCTTTTATATTCCCCTATGGGGACTCAAAATTTATTCTTTGTCTCACGCTGGTGACATGACGAAAAAGATCTTTCTCTATTCCTTTAACGAGCTCAAAACTAACCATCTTCCTTATTCTATTAGTAAAAGATTACAAATTATGATGTGAAAGACAGCGACCATTAATTGATAGTGAGTACCTATCGATGTTGAACAAACTGATACAACATAGCAATTCCTTTATGACCCTTGATATATACTTTTCTGTCTGCAGACGACTTCAAAATTAGAATAATAGAAGTGATAATAAAACATGAAATTTCTTGAAAAACTAAGACGGCAGTCACAAAATCTGATATGTTGTCGAGGAAAGATGTTAATTTGGGTTAGTGAAGGAGACTTTTTGTAAACAAAGAAGTTCCATATTATTTAATTTTCAGGCTTTAGTAGCAGAAACTAAAGTTCGTTTTTTCGCTTAACGATTAGCGCGATGGACTATGGATCGAAAGATCTTGAATCGAATCTCTTCAAGTCATGGTGTTGTTCTCTGAAAAGAGAAATGTCACGCCAATAATGCCTCATTTGACTCAGCGTAAAGTTAAATGGTCACTGGTGAAATATCACAGAAATCTTATGAATGCTTGAGGTCTTTGAGGGTATGGTCCACTTTCAAAAGGACCAGCACCCATTTTTATTCCTGCTTGCTCTTTCGCTTCGAAACGTAAAGGCCTTATATCAAAAAACATCTATACATTTTTTTTTGCGGAAGGCGTCTTGCTAAGACGAACAAATGTCTTGCGTGATACCGCAGAAATGAAAAATGAATGATCTTGGCTAAACAATTTATTAAAAGAAAAGCAAATGAAAAGATAATTGTACCACAAATACGTGTTAATTCCTTGCTCAGCTTCCGTTGGAATTTTAATTTCGCGCCCATTTTTGAACAACATAACTGACGAAAAAATTTAACGCCTAAATGCACAGTTTTGAAAGAGCTAGATCAGCGGTAATTTTTAGAAGGATATGATTTGAGATATTATTTTTCAATGTATTTTCAGAACCAAGAAATAGTGGCACAATCTAAAAGAAGTAGAAAAACAAAAACAACACAAAACCTCAGTTCAACCAATGTGGCCATACGAGATGCTAATTCTTAGTTTTTAAAATCTAATTATTCCTGACCTTCCCTCTCGACGCATTCTTAGTTAAATCTTTGAGTGCTCTTGGATTTTTTTGTAGACGTTTCTATGGATCACTTCGTATGCAGTATAAAATTACTTGAGCAGTGCAGCTGGCGAGTTTCGTCAACACTCCTTCATGAACTTTGTTGAATGGCACAAGCCTTCTGACAGTTATGCTGTCATACTTGAATGTTCACAATAGTATATCGGTCGCGTCTTTTCACTAACATTTCCCATTGTTTCTTTAATCATAAGCGAATAATACGATTTTTATGCTGCGAATCCAGCTTTTGTCTAACGAGGTCAAAATTTACCCTCAATTAAGATAACGTATATTCAACTCGGCTTTGAGGTACGATTTAAGCTGCTTTCCATTTGTAATTAACTGCGCGCCATCAATCATTCGAAGGAAAAGCGAAGTAAAAAAATTGTGCTTTTTTCTGCAGTTTTAACTCTTGTCAGGTGGTTTAACTTATGAAACGCGCGGGTATTTTGGGATTTGCGTTACTAATTAAGTTACCAATAAAGATCAGTAAATGAAAATACCACGTTGACAAATGTGCCCACTCTGACATTCTAAATCAAACAAACTAGATTCTTGACATGATTAAAATTTCAACTGCCCGACTGTCTTTTGAAAACTCCATAAACTATTAGGAGCACCCTTAGTAGCATTAAACTTGGGATAGACGTTGTGCCCTATTTATTTTGACGAGGCCCGTGTTGAGGAAGACTTGAGAAGGAAGACGCGCAGGAGGATTTAATAAAAATTTCATTTGTTAAAAAACACTACTGTGTAGGTTGAAAATTTATTTTATTGCGTATTTTCATTAGCAGTTTGTTTGATTACAAATCATTCAATTTAATATTCTCTTCCCTTTCTGTCTTAAAATTACGTGAAAATTACTCAAACAGATACCAAAATTTAAGTAGGCACACTATTTTGCAGAATTATTGTTAAATAAAAGGTTATAAGAGAAATTTCTCCGTCGAACGGTTCGTTGAAGCTACCAGAGACATCAAGTCTGTCCACTTATCAAATTAGCGCCAGCTATTCTACAAAAGAAAAGACACATTCTATATCAGTTATTCACACCAACAGTAATGCGGACCGCAATAAGCGAGTTTGGACTCACTCCCGCAATACATAGACCCGGTTATGTATAGAACGCTGGATAACGTAAATTTCAAACTAACTTAGTCTGAAGCATTTCTTTGACAATCAATGGTTATAATATCAAAACTGTATAAAGCGGTCAGTCACGGTGGAAGGCGTTCCGAAATTTTTGGTAATATATAAAACATATATATATAATATATAACAAATATATAATTGACCACTCATTGTATAAAACCTGGCTCAATACTATTAACATCGATTTCGGGAGAGAAACATAGATTAAATTTTACTAGAAAAACTATTTTTAGTTTAATTCGAGTAGTTCCGCTTTAAGTCACTGCTAAATGCAGGTGGATGACAATACAAACAAGCCATTGGGACTCACTCAAAGGTGACCGCGACCCCTTAATTGAGATGAGAATTACAGTGATTAAAGGGAAAAAAAATTTGGGACTTTGACAACCGATCACTTAATACAGGTGACCGCTTAATACGATGCCGCCTTACACAGGTTCGACTGAAATGCAATTCTTACCATTCAACTGATACACCATGTTCGCTCCTTTCAACCCTATTCCTCCCTTGCATTTTTGAGAAGGACCAAGGTCATCGTAGGTGTCCTTAGCATTCACATCAGACCAACATTCTGCCGTGTTCTGCACAGCAAAATATGCGTAACCCTTGGCCTTTGCTACGCGGGCGCACTGATCAACAGTCACTCCGTTCTGTTTGTTCTTTTGATTGCGGAAGTTGATGTATCTAATTCGCAAAGGTTTTGGTCTCTTCTTAGCCGAGGCAACGTAGCAACCGAGAGACTTGTAAGATGGAACTGACTCTAGATGCCAAAGAAAAAGTGTATTGACGAGGAAAGTGTGTGAAAATTATATAACTATTATCGTATATTAAAGTTCACATGGTAACCAGGTGGACAATCAGACATGGTTTGATGCTACCTGGTTTACAAATTAAAAGAATGTAACCGAAGAAGTCACAATTCATAGACCCAACGTCTCGTCACTCCTGTGTTTTCTAATGAACATTGAAAAAGCTAAAAAAAGAGGAATGGCAATAAAAAATTGTTTACACAACACGACTTACACACTCCATATAACGGCAAGTTGACTTCAAAATATTGCAAGAACAAATTAAAAGGTGGCACACGAGACGCAGCCACAAGTGAATTTACTTACCAAACGTAAAAACGACAGAAGAGGCTTTTGAGCCAATGCCTTTAGCGCATTTCTTGTTAGGAGCAGCACCTTTTGTAAAATAGCTTTCACCAGCTTTTGGACCAGAGAAGCAAATTCCGTTCAGTCCGACAGAAAAGTACTTATAACCTTTCTCTTGGGCTAGCTCTGCACATTTCATAATCGTGGGTTGAGTATCTTTGAGATTCACTTCTTTTCTCAGGTCTACCAGTGTGGGTATCACATTTGCTTTGTGATTAAAACATCCGATGCGATAAAACGCTGAAACTGTAACAAATTAAAGCAATGGTGAAATGCATTGTGACAAAAAAATTGTGTTCAAAAAATAATGGTGAGAATTCATTAGGCTCGAACCTGGAACTAACAAATTGTGAGTGTTTCATTAATTATTCGAAATCTCCACATTAACACTTCCCTTAAAGTAGCATTTGTGGAATTAATTATACCACAAATGGTTTTGGTCAAATTACACTTTCATAAAAAGAGCTTTGAAAATTAAAGAGCACTTCAAATGCTTCAAAAGTCCATGCAATGTTACCTTGACAACGCTGACCCGTAAGGCCTTGAGGGCACGTACAAGTATATTCGTCTGAGAGACCTTTATCGTCACAAGTGGCTCCGTTTAAACAAGGATTGCTCATGCAAGCTGTTATTTTAGCTGAAGTGAAAGGTGGATATATCAATATAAACAGTAATACTTGAAAGAGAAACAGACGCTTTTGAAAGAGCAAATAATTCGACTGAACTTCGAGATATCTTCAGATAAGGCTCCTAGAACGATTATGTATCTGATTTTTCAAGTAATGTGAACAATGTTAAAACAGTATGCTTAAATTTTGGTATTTGTTTGAGTAATTTTCACGTAATTTTAATTTGATATTGAATAAACATCGATAGAAAAGGGAGAGAATATTAAATTGAATGATTTGTTATCAAGGAATATGAATGAATGGAAGTAGAATGTTAATGGGAGAGATAAAGACCGGAATATTTCAACTGCTCAATCTTAGCTGGACGAAACACCTTATTTATACAGTGGTAGAGTACTACAAATTTTATTCGCAATCGATGCATCTTCGTAATACCACTTCGCAAAACTATATTTACACAGTAAAGCGCGTGTAGAAAGATCCAACAATCACTACCTATAAGGGTTAAAATTGCTTTGTGTGATTTTTATGAACTTCTGGCAACAATTAATGTCAATTAATGTAATGGAAAAATGTAGGAGCACATTTTTAAACCGCCAAATGCAGGCTACTTTATTTATTTTCACATGAAAGCGAAAATACAATGAACTTACTTTCGCAGTTCCTTCCTGTAAAGAGAGGGGGACACTTGCAGGTGTGATTGTAATGATGAATGATCCCCGCTGAGCACTCACCACCATTTAAACACGGTTTCTTGTCGCATGGGTTTAATTTTACTATTGATAAATAAAAAAAAAGACATAATAAAGGAAAAATTTAATGGTTTAGTAATTTGAGATGGAAATTCGTAAATCGGAAGCTCTAGGATCAAAACTATGGGGCTCGGGTAGGAGTGCTGACTGATGCAGCTCGACGACATCACGTGCCTCTTTATACCTACTTTAAGTGTATTCATGGGCGCCATCGGTACTGTGAAGGAGCTCTGTCAGAACAATGAGGACGAGTCCTTTGATGGTTTGGTTTCCCACAACATTTCCAGTGATAGAAAGATGTTTTTCGTCTTGTCTGTATGCAAGATGCGTGTCATATGAACTTCGTAATAGGCCTCGCTCACCGTAGAGTCTCTGTGGCTCAGTAGTAGAGCATCGGATCGCGGAATACGAAGGTTTGAGGTTCGATTCCTTATGTTGACTCAGAATTTTCTTCTTTGGCCCACGCTCATGACAAGACGAAAAACATCTTTTTTATATTTCTTTACCGAGCCCAAAACTTACCATCTACTCATCGTTCTAGTTATTTCATACTTTAAAAGCCTGGATAAACTCCAACAGCGCAGGCCACTTGGCTCATGCACACTTACTTTCGCACTCGACGCCAGTAAATCCCTTGTCACAAACGCACTTGTAACCTGATGGATCCGGTTGACAGCTTCCTCCATTCGAGCAGTTATGTCCAATGGGAGGGCAGGTGGGTGGTCTCGCTGAGCCAAGAAATATAAGCGGACATTATTTTGATACCTCTGAAATAATTTTCTTTTCTTCTTCTAGATACGAGAACAAAATAAAGTAACTTACATCCACAAGGTTTATTCTCGTTACATTTCATTTCAGAAAGAGGTTTGTTCATATATCGGCAAAACTCTGGATCAATGATGGTTAAGTTTCCGGATTCGTCGATTCTTGAGCATGAAACCTCACGACGGATCATTCCAACTGCACACTTTGTGGGGCACTGCAGTTCAGGAAACATGAAAAATCAAACTTTTACTCTATGGGCTAGCTTGATAAAAAGTGCCTCCATCAATACGATCATCATTTTGCCGGGAAAATACGTTATAATTTTGTACTACTAATAAGGCCTTGTAAGCTATGCCATGGGAATCACCAATTCTGATTTCAATCTTGCCCTTTTTGCTTGAGAAACTGGAAACAATTTAGATAGTTCTCTTACGCTAAAAGATTGAATATTCAGGGTGATGCTAGCGTGAGGCTTCTCAAAAGCGAAAGGGAAATACCAAATAGTGGTCCTCAGTCGGATTCTGGGATTTTAGATTCGTAGATACTAGCTTGATATTCCTGGGACACTCACTAAAGCTCATTCGTCTGAAATACATCGAACCAGCTATGACATGTTTGCAAAGAACTGCCTGCTCACTTTAAACAGTATTAAAAAAAACAGCATGAGGGCCTTCCTTTTCCACATAGAATTTAAATATTTCAAATTCAGGGTCCTCAAGCTTTTCTAGGGTATGGAGGACCTTCTCAATATCAAAAAGCTCCTCATATAAATATATTCAAATTTCCTTGATGATGTTACCGAGGTTGAAATCCGAGTGGTTACCTCTTTCCTTTCTTCCCCTGTACTCGTAACATGTGAAGGGTATCTTTTTTTTTATTCGTCGACCGAGTGCAAAAGTTACAATCTTTATTTTCATAGAGGTTTATGTTGTCTGATTAGGGTTTAACTTAATATACAATTCAACTAACCGCAGACCAGGGCCCAACATTCCATGCAGCCGGACAAGGGTATCTATTGCAGGCCAGCAGAGCTGGTCCAACGTTAACGGGTTTCGGTTCTGAGCATAAATCAGTTTCTCTGAAGTCGTCCAAGGCTACTTCGTGCAGGCATTTTAGTTGACGTTGTTGATGTCCGTTTCCACATGTTTTCGAACAAGAGGTCCATTCTTGAGTCCATCTGAAACATTGAAATAAAGTTACCGTTAATGTCTTTGGAAACACGGTCTCCACGACACTTATGAAGCGCTTTCATATTTGCATTTTTTCCCCACGCCTCTTTTTCCCGTTGCGATTACTTTATTTTGGTTTAACGACACCACAATGTAATCCGTTATAAATAGATAAACTTTTAGGTTCTGTAGGGCGTTTGCTGCTGGTAAGAACAGGTTGGCTTTGGCAATACATTTATAAAAAGTATTCCCTAATTGAGTAGAACTGCACGTGAAAAAGTTCGAGAAAGATCTGCTTGTTAAAACTTACGAGTAAGGTCGGTCAAACCCGACCACTGCTACGATGCAATGAGTTGTCTAACTCCAGCAATCTTGGACTCAAGAGGTCGGTCACGAAAACCGACGATGATGCTAAAACTTGTCGCCTGCGTAAAACGCTTCCCTAAGGAAATGAGACTTAAATCGGTACAACTCACTTTGCTGCACAAGGCTGCGTGTTGCAGTCTTCGACTGCTGGCATTTCTCCAGGGCAAGCAGAGTTACTGGCAGGACTTTCGTCATCTATCCTAATACAACGAACATCACGTGTTCTTGTACCTGTAAGAAAGAAGAATCTATAAAACCTGGAGCTCTTCCCTCTCATTCGAAGATTTTTTTTTTTGTAATGAGAAGTGGGGACGTTTCAAAAGAAATCTTGGTGCTGCTTCAGTTGGGGGTATAACAGGATGATTTGGTTTTTAAATAATGTAACTTAGCCACCATAAAGAGTTTTTAAAGCTAACGTTTTGGGGGAATAGAAAAATTGTAGGTTCTGTGTGATTTATTGAAAAAAAATTTAGTTTTGGACCATAGAATGTCTGGAATAGAATTTCACCTCTAGATATTAATTTACATTTAGATTGGCGGCTATTAAAATACGTTTTACGCCTCACCGACAGCGCAAGTCCTTGAACAAGTAGACCATTCCCCAACCACCCATTTGTAGCCGAGTGAAGAGATTGAGGACGAGCCTTCAATGAGGTATTGATACATCACGCCAGGGTTGTCTCCAGTTTTTGGTGATCTCTTTATGTACTTTAAAAAGGGAAAAAATAACTTTCGTTAACAAATAATTTTTGGTTTAATTAGATCACGATCAATCACTGAAAGAAAGATAGATGAAACACAGTTACGTTGGACGATGACATAATTGATTCAGTATGTCAAAATGGGCGATTGCTAACTATAATTGATTTTCTGAATTTTATTTGTTCCTCTTCAAAAGCAATCATGCGGCGGCCTTTTCCTTATTTACCATTACTCTCAGCGAAGCGTTCGTAGGGCCAACTATAGTAACTACGTCTCTTGCTGCCGGCCTATTTCTATGGGTATACTTTATCACTGTGCCAGCGGCAGGTTTTTCTTGATTTCCGCCCAGATGTCCCCCAACTATGAATTTGCCTTGAGCGTCAATTACACCTACAAAGAAAAGGAAATAAATAAAGTAACCAAAATTGCACATTTTGCAATGCAACTGAAGCAATTCTCCATCAAGTGTCAAAGTTACTCTGGCCTTGCTTCACTACAATACCCTACCCAATCAATCCAATATACAACCAAAACTAATCACGACGTATTCACTTTTGTTTTCCCGCGTTTCAGGCAGATTGCTCGTTCCTTTTTGACACACTACTTACCAAAGATCAAAGAGCAGAATTTCTTTCTTCTTTTTAAGAAAATACTCCATTTTTAAATTCAGATTAGCGTGATTTATCTTGCAATTTTTAATCAATTTCAATTTTTTTTTCACGATTGTAATTTCTATCACCAGGGCTCCTACAGAGAATAGCCATGTTGCTGAATGGGCTACGCTGGCTCCTTAAAAGTAGTTTAGCGCCGGTGATCTTTTATCGACAACGAGATTTGCCTTCACGAGGCGCAGCCGAGTGAGTCCGCAACAAATTTTGACCACTGTGGTGACGAATATCGATAAGAGTACAGACCGCGCTGAATCAATGTCGATTTGTTTTTATCATAATATCGATGTCAAATACACGATTGTTTGAACGATGTTTGAGAGCTGAAAAAAGCATTGCGTGACACGTTGACGCCAGAAGCATTGTGTGTACTGTTATGGACAACGGTAAATTGGCAGTTGGCCAATCAGATTGCAACATTACTGCCAGTTGTGGTGAAAATAAAGTTAACCTAACCTTTCTTTGTGATCTCAATGGTTTCTTGTCACAATTTCTTTGTTTTTAAATTGCAACTAGTGATTACTTTGGTTTGGTTTACGACAATCAATCAAAAGTAACTCTAATTATATGATAAGCTGAATTCGACACGCATTTTGATGGGTTCTCACTGAATCTCTCGGAGGACAGACGCATAGATGACGTCACCACTAATAACTGAATAGACCATTTCACAGTTGTCTACTTAGTTTCCAAGCCTTTGATTTGGAACGAGTCTGAGGATGACCTTGTTGTGATAGAGACCAGTATCTAGTTGGCGTAACAACAAAGCAATTTACATTTGAAATACAGCAAGGTTTATATCATAACAAGGTTAAACTTAGCCTCACTCCTGTTCCAAGGCTTGGCAACCACTCACAACTGTAAAGTGTACTATTTCTGCTACTTTATCATATAAAAGAGCCGAAGCTATCCTTGGTTGCTCTTAGCACTCAATTGAAATTTCTCCATGTTTTATATCTGATTTTTCATTAGAGTCCCCTTGTTTCGGAGAAATATCTGTACTGACCTAAATAATTTAAAGTGTTGGCAACCATCACGAAACCAGCATTTCTAGTTCCAACTGGAAGTTCTGCTACCTCTATCGCATTCTCGGGGCCTGTTTAAATTAGAAATTAAAAAGAAATTTAATTGAAATTAAACGTATAAAACTACCGTTCTACCACAAATGGCAAATGATATTAACTTTTTCTGAAGCAACAGCCTCAGTTTAAAAAGGAGGAAATTAAACGTATAAAACTACCGTTCTACCACAAATGGCAAATGATATTAACTTTTTCTGAAGCAAAAGCCTCATTTTAAAAAGGAGGAAGAGGAAGTAAAATTGTCAGAAAGACAAAGAGAACAATTAACATAGCAAGTACTGATAACTTTAGAGCAGAAGAACCATACAGAACTATAGTAAATATAGGGGGGAAACCGACCGCCCAGGCAAATAAATAGCGACTGGTCCCTTAGCCCTTAATACCTGCTTCAGCTGGAGAGTCTTTGAAGGTTGCTTTGATCTTACTGCAGGTATCTCCGTCTCCTCCGCAAACACCGCAACGGTCGATTGCTGTTTTTCCATCTAACTCGTTATCACAACCAACCGACTTATACATAAAGTAATGAAATAGATAAAATTAACTCAGTTTTGAATACGTCGAATTTAAGAGGTGATAGAACTTGCTTTAAATTATGAAAGCGTGAAGAACGAAAACATCAAGTGAAGAGTCGTTGCGACAAGTCGCAGGTATGAGTCGCAACAACATAATTTTTCATATGAGGTGAACAATTCTCGAGAATTATTTTTTCCTGGGACAGATTGAATTGGTTTGAGTTTGTGCAGTGATGTATAACATTGATAAATCAGTTGCCATGATATGTCATGGAAGCAATAGAAACGAAACGGTTTGCCGTAGACTTTGCCAAGTCGAAATATATAGGATTGGTCACAAAATCTCTGCGGCTTTTAATTTACTTTTATTGGCTCTCCGATGGAAAAAACTTACTACCAAGCCTAATGGAAATAATTCATACTCCTTCAAGGCGAAATTAAATCGGATATATATTTTTATATTTCACAGATAGGTATATGCACAAGATAAACACGTAAGCTACGATAGCAAAACTTACTCTACATTTTCCTTGAACACAGACGCTGCGGTCCTTTCTATTGTTGGTACATCTGATACCGTCTTTGAAGGTTCCTATTCTCCTTACCAGATTTCCTTCTCTACAGTATATGCGACATGCTAAAATAAATAGGTTTGAAGTTTGTGAGCTCGTTTAGTCTACCTTAACGTGTTTCTTCAACGATGTGAATACAATATTTCACTCAAAACATTTGGACGCGATTATCTTGCTGTACAGTAGAAATTGGGGCGGGATCAAGACAACAATAACAACTTTGCTGCAAAGACAATGCAAAAAAAATTTTAACTGATAAGCAATGGGCAACGGACAATGGAACTACTAGCATGACCTCGAACAATTCCGAACGGGAGCTACCAGAAACTCGGTAGAAATACCAGCACTATCCTGACCGGGAACTAGACCGGGATCTCGGATCTCGGATCTCGGATCTCGGTTCTCGAAATTTTAGTAATTTCTTCACTTTGTCGTCGATCAAATGATATGGTCTATTACCGTCTCTTGCGAGGTTGTAAAGGAAGTAATTGGGGTTCCTTCCTTTGCACACTTGCTGACCATATACATTCCTGAAGTTTTGTTCCTCACTTGGGCAATCCTGGAAACCAAAAGCATCACAAGAAAATTACGATTCAATCGACAAGGTATCATAGATGTGAGGGGAACCTCAGATAAGCCTATTTGAAGATAACAAGATCATAGCAAGACAATGGGTTGATGAAGGGAAAATGGATATAGACGTGTCTAGCATATACTAAAATAGGGGATAGCGTTGAAGGCGCGCTCTGATTGGCTATTCAAAATCCGAATATCCTTTGTTATTCACTTCCGAGCAACCTGCGCGGGATTAGCGCCTGCGCTTTATTATCTAAATATTTAAGTTTATGCTGAAACAACTATTCACCTCTGTGTCGGTAGCTAGCGGTAGATATTTACCTCGCCGCAAATGGTTAAATATACAGCAAAACCGTCGTAAAATCACTGTATTTTTCGTTTGTATAATAAATGTCATTCAACAATATCCATCTGACTCTTTTGAATAAAAGCCAAGCTTGGAGTAATGTCTCAATTTATTGTTGAAAGTAATCCATGATTGTAATAGTTTTATTTCGCCTCACTGTGCGACGGATATTTTTAAAAAACTGAAAAAAAATTACAATGAAAAGCCTTGTCGATGCATGCGTAGTACTAACCTGCGGATTACAAAGCCTGTATTCTTTCCTGACGCCTTTACAATTTTTTCCATAACGAGGCCTAAGGATATTAAAAATGGTAAGCTCCATGAAAGAAGAAGTATTGTTGTAATTGTAAGGAGGCGCTGTAACCAAATGGTTAATTAGCGCTCTGAACTGCGGATCAAAATGTCTGGCTTCTGGGTTATTGTGCCGTATTCTTGGGCGGGACACATTCGACAGTGCCTTTATACTCGCAGGAGTATAAATAGGTACCAGAGAATGCTGGGAAATGGGCGGGGGGGGGGGTAACCTTAAATACACCGCATCCCATTCGGGGGGAGCAACAACATTCAAGCTTCTGGTCGCTTCATGCTTCGGAGACTGGGACCAGCTCCCTCCCCGTTACGTAGGCCTCTAAGCTCGTGAGTTATATTAACCGCTAGGTATTTTAGAAGAAAAAATAATAGGAAAAATACAAACATGGCAAACACATACGACAAAATACTTAGGCAAGCAAAGGTTTTAAGAGGGGTTTGAACTGTTTCCTCAACCCTTTCTCGTTCTAACTCCCATGAGCGACCAAGACAGAACTTCCCCTAACAATATCGATACAATATCAAGTGGAAAAGTGATGAGAACAAATGCTGAATAAAAAAAAAATATCAATTAGGGAATCATTAGTTGATCCAATACCAAATTCTCTGACCTAAGATCGGCATTTACGATTTGAGCCTAAGATTGCTGCTGACTAAGGTTGAAATATCAAAAATTTCTACAAGACACGTGTTAAAGATCCTACCGGGGAAAAAAAAACCTTTCCCTGTTCAGAGAAGAGGATAACAAGAAAAGTAAGGACTTACTTAGCATTTACGCAATGCCTCTCTCTGTACTGGACACCTCCGTCACAATCTCGGGTACACTGAGAGTAAGGGCCCCATTCAGACCAGGTGATATTTTCTACCATGCCTGACTGTTCACATCTTCCCTTAATGCACCACTTAAAAATAAGTAAATAAGTAAAATAAGTAAATGAACAAGCGTATTAACCGCAAGTCTTCGAATCAGTGAAGTAGTGAGCCATCGAGTCAGCGAATTAGTGGGTCAATTTTTTTTAAACGAATTAGACGAGTCAACAGGTCACCTGGTTAAATAACAAACAATTGATCAGCTAACTAGTCAATGAGTCAGTGAGTTAGCAAGTCATTCAATTAGCGAGTTAAGGAATTAATAAGTAAACGGTTCGGTGAGTTGTTAAGTCAACGCCTTCAGTAGCCAACGTGAAAGAGTCACCTGGTCAGCGCGTCAGCGGGTCAGCGGGTCAGCGGGTCAGCGGGTCAGCGGGTCAGCGGGTCAGCGAGTCAGCGGGTCAGCGAGTCAGCGAGTCAGCGAGTCAGCGGGTCAAAGATTCAAATAGTAAATGAGCCAGTAAGTAATCGAATTAGTGAGTTAGCGAGTCGGCAAATTAAGGAGTTAACTAGTAATCAAATGAACGAGTTATATTATTGAACCAGTGAGTTGGCGAGTCATTTAGATAGTCACTTAGTAAGCGAATCAACAAGTAACCGACTGAATAATAAGTCATCAATTCAGAGAGTTATTTAATCTGTAACGTGCTGTTTCATCGTCAGCGAGTCACAGATTGGTGATAATTGAATTCAACAACTGAAGTAGGAAAAGAAATTAGACAGATGAATTTCAGATTATGCAAATATAGGCGCCCCTTTTCACAGATAGCCGATGATGTCGCATGCTTACCTTTTGGAATCCGCATTCCGTTCCATCTGCAACAATCGTATTTCTACCCAACAACGTGCCTTCCTTGATACAAGATAAGTAAACACAATTGGACTAAAAAAAGGAGAAATAAAAACGAGATGAGAAAAAAGAACATCATTATCAAAAAAGACAATAACAATAACATTTCAGCACATGTCACATGTACATTGTCTCTGTTTTCGCTATAACTTTTGTTGAGAAACATGCAGTTTTAGCTTGATTGGCGTAGTTTTTGAGGGAAAAATTGGCTGAATCCAAGAATTCATAAAGTTGAATTGAGTTCAAATTCTTATGTCAAAGTTTGACACTGATAATACACGCTTATGACTTACTTGGCCTTCCTCTGCTACAGAAAAAATTAGGCAAATTTATACATCTTATTAACCGAGGTTGAGGTCTGTGCTGCAATTTACGGACCAAGTTTTTTCCGTTTTGATTTATGGCCCAAGTGCGAAGCGCACGGGACTTAAAGAATGAAACAAGGCTCCGCACATTACTGTGCAGACTAAGAAAATGAGGTCAGTAAGATGTTAATCATATCCTTCAATTCAAACAAATGGTTGAAATCAGTGAGACGTATAGTGAAATGCGGCTCGCTAACTTGACCAATCAGCGCATGTACTAACTGGGAAGTATGGTAAAGAACTTTGAGCCAATTCTCTGGTTCTCTTGAAAAGGAGGAACATCAGAATTAAGTATGTGAAGCGCATAAACAAGTGAATCATTTCGTGATTACTGTATTCTCTAAAAGTCAGCCTCAAAGGATGTGCTGACCTAGAACACTCTCTTGAAGGTCTGATTAAAACACTGAATGTAAAATGAAGCAAAATTCCGACTAATTACCGGATTGTATTGTTTCCAGCCTTCCCCATAATGCATTATGCACTGTTCATCGCCACTGATGATTTTCCCGGGAAGTTTGCCCCGGAAACTGGCAAGAATTGTGGGGTGATCACCCACGGGACCATCATCTAAACATTTAGATTTTTTTCTGCACAAAGAAAGTTGTAAGTTGTTGTAAGAACCAAAACAAAAACACAAAAAAGTTCACACTTTACCGATCATGGCGACGAAAAGAAGAAAAGGAGATGCAAGCGAAGAGGATCAGCGGGGAAGAGTTATGGAAGGGAGCGAGAGAAATGCAACGGCGACGACTTCTTGTTATCTCACCATGTACTGTGTACCATACAAGATGTAGCTTATACCGCTGCTCTAACTTTATGTGTCAGCGAACTCATATTCAGGCGGTTTATGCCAAGTACATTCTTCGTATTCACGAACTATCGCAAACCTGAATTACAAGATTTGTATGATTCAAAAAACTTTTCCCGCGGAGTACGGTTCGAAGATGCCTAGAATGTCCTTCCCCCCTCCCCCACCGGTAAGCCCCTGTAGACTATTCTTTATTCCAGATAGACTTATTCTTTATGTACGCACTCGTCTGCCAAGAAACGCTGAATGACGTTCCTGGAGCATTCTGACCACTCTGTGGCATGAGGTCCTCCTGGTAGTGCAGCATTCATGATATAAGCTTTTAGAGCACAGTCGCCACTGGTATGATCGAGGTACATGCTGAAATTATATACAGCAACAAAAGCATACATGAATGACTTTGACAAGACCTACATGACCTACAGGTACATGCTGAAATTATATACAGCAACAAAAGCATACATGAATGACTTTAAAGTTACTACGTTCTACATAGATCATCTTTGACAAGACCTTAGGCCTTTAAGCGCAATGTACAAGTACAGATTGCATAAATGGTTGTTGGATGTCTTTTCCTACTAAGGATTTTCAAATTCTGTTTGGGTAACCAAGCTTTGTTCATTTATACAGTGTTTCGTTCAGTATTGAGTGGGATAAAATTAAAACCAAAGTTGGCAGGTTGGCCATTCAGTACAAACGTCGTTATCAAGAGGAATCTGTGAGAACTTAAAGTAAAACGTCTCAGGCGTCTAAGTGTAAACTGCCATAACCCATCAACCCCTATGGCTGACCAAGATGGAATTTCTCCTTACAATATCAATACAATGTCGAGCAGACAACTGACGAGGAAAAAAAATTTATCGATTAGGAGATTATTTACTGATCTAAAACCAAGTTCTCCGACCCAACATCATAAGAGTTGTTTTACAGACAGTAGAGAGAATTAATAATAAGATCTTGGGAGTGAAAGCGTCAAACCCAAATAGCCGACAACTGCAACTGGTAGAGAGTTCTCAACTGAAAACTGACTGGTAGAGAGTTCTCAAGAACGATCGTAAAGCGCAGCACTGGATTGCGTCTCTCAAAGTTCAAATGAAAATCGCTTTCCCGCAGGAATGTCTTGATTCAATAACCAGTTTTGGACAGCAATTTTAACATAGTCTTTTCTGTTAAATTTTTTCAACATGTGTTTGTTCCATTCAGTTGGTTTCTTATTGTGTTCTTTGGTTGGGTTTTTCTCTCTCTTTGTTTTGTGAGTAGAAGAATTTTCTAGGGCAAGGAGTTTTTAAACAAGGCCTGAATTTTTTATCTGGTAATTAAGTAACATACTTATGTCCGGTCTCGTGGGCGAGATGCAATGATGTTGGCAAACCGATTTCCTGATTCACATTCCCTGTAGGTACTGCACAAATCTGATTGGCAATGGCGAGGGCTGAAAAGATAAATATCGCATTTCAGTTGAGCCAAAGAAACCATTTTGAGTACTGCGTCGTCACTAAGCTATTTTGATATTGATTGAACTCTTCAGTTTCCATCAGTTTTTGATCGAAAAAGTTAAGCACTGCCAGTCTAAAATGGCATTTTTGATGTTCGCATTCTGTTGCAGGTTATAAGATCGTTTCTCTTTCTCACCGTATCGACAGAACGTTTGCCAAATTTATATTGTCGTGATAGTCTTTTATCTAAAATATCGGTGTTCCCCAGTTTTTGCAGATAGCCTTTGAAAAACCTAAATTCGCAGGAATGTACGCACTTAACGCAAACTTGGCACGCAGCAGATCTCAGTGGCCATGCACGCAGGAAAGCCGAAATCAGCCAGGGTATTGCTAGATTCTCTACCCTCCTCTCCCCCCTTGCAGCTCCATGGAAAGGATATCAAACCACTACAAGTTACTCGCCCGCAACTATTGTCATCAGGATCAGATGGATCAGAAGTCATCTGACAGCAGAGGCCGTGTTTAATTTTCATTCAACGAGTCAACCTCACATCAAAGTTACTCATTCCATCGTCTGGAGACATTTTCAGGAATCTACCCTAGCAACAAATTTTGATATACCTTGTTTTAAGCTCGAAGCACGGAAATAGCCGCAGTTACTAAATGTCACATAATGGTATCAAGATAAATGAATAACACTCACCTCCACCGGAGATTTTGCTGAAAAATATTAAAACACAGTCGAGTAAATCTATTTGACATTATAGACATACTACGAGCGCTCTGATTCCGTTTATTGCATTGGTAAACCCATAAAAAATTGAAAATTTCCGTGCTTGTTTTAAGTTTATTTCTTAAAAGCAGTCGACCACACAAACTTCAAACTTTTGGAATGGATAATGCGGTCTGTTGCTCGATCAAAAAATTAGTTAAGTAGACACCTATAATTAAATGATTACATTTTCTTAAAAGGACGTGGTGAAACCTGTATCACACTGGTCCCACGTCAAGTGAAATTTTCGAAATTTTCTTGATCAGTTACTTTGCTCTAATTGGGGTTTGGATAATTGATAAAGCTACATTGTTGGAAGAACATCAAATGAGGAACGCACGGAAAAAAGAACGGGGGAAGGGGGTGTAGAACATGCTGCTGAGACCTAAAAGAGTAGCGACCATAAGAGCAGTAAATATCTATTGCTTACTCTGAAATATAACTGAAGACATCAAATGGAACTTTCTGTATCGCGTTGTTTTCCCTCGTCTTTCGAGCTATCCTGGATAGTTTGATGCTGTTGCTGTCACTTTGCTTGAAACCATACTAGATGCCAAGATGCCAATTGGAGTGAAAATGAAGGAAAAGAGAAAACACAGACAAAAAAGGAAATAGAAAAAATTTTGGATACTGAGAGACCGATCACTATTCATCACCTGGGAGTGGGGGGGGCTGGAGGATTTTAGTTGTGTCATAATATAACTTACCTGATCCCCCTCTTAGGCTCTGGAAAAATTTACATTCCCCCCCTCTCCGTTTCCCCCTAAAAACTACGTAAACTACACTAGGCCGCAAATGATGATTATTCCTTAAGAGGGTAGAAACACACTCTCTTCCAGTATGCTCACACTAAGAACCAAACAGGCGTAAACTGTGGGGAAATCATCGATATTTCCTGAAGTTATTTGGGTCAGTAGACCACTGCTTTTTGGAGATTTTATTATTTACGATAAACCACAATTTACAATTATACCCATAAAACATCAGAGTATCATTTCCTAGCTCCGACAAGCATACGTACCCGGACAGGATCGATGATAAGGATTCTAGTGACGACATAAGTAATCTTCATTTTACCAATTGAGGGATCTTGAAACATGCCAGCAACCTACATGATTCACATAGAAACAAGGAATTTTTCCGTGAATCGAAAGATGCGCGACACTCCACTGAGAACGAGACGAAAGGAAACAAGCTGTATATTTAAGCAACACGCAAAGTAAGAATTCTACGCTGACGTCGAAATTAAGTGTCTAATTCTGGCCACCTTGATTCTCCTTCCTGCTTCGTTGCAAGTATAAATAAACCAAATATTATTTCATCTATCCTGTGCTGCGAAGCCATAACATACTTTGAAGCAAACTTCAAAATCTCTCTCCTCATGCCCCCCCCCCTTCTAGAAAAATATGGAAAAAATGTTTTTTTGTCGATAAAACACACCGCATACACGTGAAAAGGTTGGACTTACCATATTGGCAAGAATCATAAAGTAGTTTACCAGGCCCCCGGTAATTGCCTGTAAGTTTCCCTGGGAATATTTCTTCTGGAGAGATGGTGGGCACATCAGCGCCACTTTAAGTGTTTTAAATTTTGGAACAGGACTGTGGGACATCATAGATCTCTTCACCCGGCTATTTTCATCGTCTGAGGGATCTGAAAATTCAAAGTAGTTGCGATTTAAAATACGCCATCGATCTTAGGGACTTGCCTTAGTTATCACAGGAAGGAGATTATCGGGGAAATGTTTTGAGAGGGGATCACATGTCTTTCATACGAAAACAGAGGGGAATTAGTCCCAGAGTATAAAGGGGACTAAGGCAAAGTTTACCGATGAGGGAAGGGAAGAAGGGGGGAGGGGTCAGTAGACTACCGTTACGAAATGAAGAATCACGTAAACAATATAGTGACACAACCAAAATCCTGTGGACCCCCTCCCCCCTTGTGACTATTCTCTCTCCCATACAGGCAGTAGCTATGCACCCCATAATGCCAAGAGTCTGTAGTTGGGTGTTTTAGCCGCGCACTCGCTGCTGTATATTTTGCACAATGACTTGCGATATTCAGAGCAACAGCTGTATGTGAACCGCGCAACGGCGTTGTTTATAGTAAAATAGTTAGCATATTTGAACGCATATGATGAAAAGTTGGGTATATTTAATGGAGTCTAAAAACGTGTCAAGCACCTTGAGATACGCTTGATTCTGGAGCACATCTCTCTTAACCCTTTAACTCCTTAGAGCGTATGACATCTAGTTTCTACTCACAGTATCACCTTTGAATCAAATGTAAAGCTCAAGAGAACAAAGGAAATGATCACCAATTTAAGAAGCTCTCTACGGTCCCAAAACTCTTCATGTCAATACAATATAAGGAGATCAGTAAGGAGACTGTAAATACTGATGTTAAGATGTAAAGGATCAAAAGGGAAAACAATATTCATTAGAGTTAAAAAAAAAAAAGCCTCGTTACCTTCTTTTACCATGTGCATGACATCATTTTTGAGAGAAATGACGTCTTCTTTTACAGATCTTCTGTGAACAAGATGAGGCGTTGCATCTTCACTGCTAGTCACGTGCTTAGCCAAATGCGCGGGAAGGGGATGGACGAAAAGCGTGTCACGTGATGTTTTCACGATCCCTGTCTGATGGAAAAAGAGTAACTTTAATTCACTCCATTTCAACTTTTCCTTTTGTGCTTTTATTTGACTGATTTTACTGAATCTAAACTTGTCTTCTTCTTAGTTCATCCGCCGTTCAGTTTCTGTCGGTAGTTATTCTTTCCGGTTGCACATATTAAGAAATTGGCGTAATTCTAGCATTCTTTCTTTAATTCGGTCGATTTTTCGTAGGTTTTTGCGTCATCATTACTTTGATTATTTCTCGTTTTCGCTTTTCAATCAAAGCCAGAGATGGCAAAATAAAAAAAGAACCTCACCAGTCCACCATTGTTGCTGACGGCGACCGTGGAGCTTGGATCGGAGGCGACATGTCCGAGATAGTATGTGTTTTCTGGTACTGGATATGACGTCATGGAACCGTCGCTGTTCTCACGGAGAACCTTGAGACCCGGAGATATTAAGTGTTCATTCCTCTTCAGTTTTAAATGAAGGTTTGATCCGAATGCATTCAGTTTAAAAGATGAAAAATCATTCAATCCAAGGCTACGTTTTGCTCTGGCGGGATGCAGGGAATATGACACAAACTCTCCTTCATCGTTGGATTGGTACGGATTTGAGACTTCATATTCAGGAACTGTGGGGGGATGAAAGATCGAAATTGTTTAAAAGTAACAGCCGGACGAAAAGACACACGCACCAAAGCACGTATAGACAGGCAGACAGACAGACAAACGGACAGACAGAGACCTATGAACTGACCGACAGACAGATATACAGACCGGCAGAGCAAGGCAGACACACAGACAAACAGACACAGACAAATAATAAGAAATGGTTGATGGTAATTTTGCTACCTATGTGGAGCGCAAACGCATGTGGTAAGATAAACGGAAGAACTTCGATAAAAATTGTCGAAAGACAAACATAAGTACAGGGCAAGAATATTATACTTAAACTTTAACCATACCAATAAAACCTTATTAATGAACTATTTTAGAAGTAAGGACTAATTGACTGACTGATTGAGTCATCAAATCAGTTCAATAGCCTAATATTTAGGTTGAAAGACATACAGACAGACAGGATGAGACGTAGAGTGGGTATGAAGGACAAACAGCTGTTTCCTACCTTTGTCATGATCGTCCACGTTGAAGTAATATTGAATCTCTCTCTTTGTCATGTGATGATGAAGTTTCTGTTGAAAAATCAAAAGAAATAAGTATGAAGACAATAACATGGAATTATCCTTAGACCATAACTGGTTCTCTTGTTTTTGTTTGTTTTTTCCTTCCCCATTTTTTCCTGCTCTGCGGGATCATTGGCGTGCAAAAGAGTATCAAGAATTTTAATTCTTAATGTTCCTAATGAAATTAAAATTTCATCAGTCTTATCACTAACCACGCTGCCACCTTTAGTTATCACCCTTCGCACAACGCCCTTTTACATCGGGCGTAAAAACCACAGATTAAGTTTATACATATCAAAAGGTTGAAGTAGCAGCTTGGAATATCAGCGATCGTCGTAAAATTAATCTTTGGTATCAGTGTCCTAGAATATACCATACCGACGACTTGGAATCAGCAAATTATCAAGAAAACAGAACTAAATCAGAAGTAAGTGATGTCGGGAAGAGAGGAAAGGGGGGAAGAACCTGTAACGGACTTCAGCTAGTCCATGGGGATCAACAATACTCCCAGTGGCTTTATTCCACAGAAACCGGTATGACCTTAGGTAAGATGCATGGGCAACTGGGCCAGTAGGTTGACTATGTCAATGCTCGGCAATGTAAATAACTTGTTGAGAATAACTGAGTAAAACTTGCTGTATTCATTACCTCAGTTGGCCCACCGCTTACGTCTGTGTATAAGAAAGAAAAAGTACCAACAGTATTTAGCTGAATGGGTTTTAAACCGATTAACAGGATTAGCCATTATCAATAAGGTTACATCAACTTCTTCCTTGCTGCGTCTGTGAAATGGTGCTTTCATATTAGCAGCTAATGAGTGAAACTTTCCTGTGAATTGAGTTGGGACAACCACTCGCGCGTGCATGCTTTTCCTCGAGCTAAGTTCCTTGTGTCACATTTAAGTTGTGCGCGCGTTCGCTCCATCGGGTTGGCATTGTAGTCAATCCTTTTTCGCCGGAAAAGTATGTCTGAAAACTATTTTTTTAATGTGAAAACGTATTCTCACAAAATAACGGTGATACGCTGCTTCTTGTTGAGGAGAAATTATCCAAAAGTTTATGGTCGAATATCATGTTTCTAGGCTACAAACTCATTGGTAGATTTAAAAAGATGAGTGCCAGAATTGCATCATCAAATGCTTAAGTTTCATTTCTGTTATACAGACAACCCTTTCTTCTCTTAATGGAAGAACTTCGCGTGATATTTATTAAAAAGCCTGAGAATAAAGCGTCACTTTTCCCGTTCTTTTGCGTGCGGAGGCAATCGCGGTACCAGTGGGATAAGACGTGAGGAAAAGTTTCCTGCGCTCATCTGAAAACGCTAAGAACGATGCCCGTTCAGGAGACATTGCATGACTGACCTCGTGTCAAATAGGCTAATTAGTAAATTTACGATATATTTTAAACTAATTGCCGATGAGTTTTGTATTAAAGAAGACACAGTCTAATTTGTGTCAAACACGCTAATATACGTTGAGAGAAATGGTGAAACAAAGTTAATACTTACAAGTTCGAAGCAGTATAATCAGAGTGACGGTGCTCCATACTAAAAGGGAATCCATCTTGTGTCAAATAATGATAAAAAAAAAATATCAAGCATTAATATCATCCTCACTTCTGCATATATGAGGAGGAGTAATGGTGTGAGACAAAAGGTTAGACATGTTGACTGATCTTAGGCGAGTCGTGTGAAGTTTAATGTTGACGTGTAAAGTTTTTGTGTCATCATTGGCGGAAACTTTTATACAGCAAGGCTAATAATCGACGTCGCCCAGCTATTTAAGGCAGTTGTTTTCCTTAACTTCCTCGGAGAGCATTCATTATTTTGGCAATGTTTTTTTTTCCACTTTGATAAAGCATTCTGGCTATTACGACCATAAAAGAAATAGCTGAAAATCGATAAACGACTGAGTAACCGTTTTACATAAAAAATTTTTTTCCTTTCTGTTTCGCAGCTGAAATTTATTTTCAGTAGGAATTACTTCGCGAAGATTTTACACGATCGCAGTGCGATAAGCTCTGATACTATAAAAAAAATAATGTGTTCTTTCCCAACGGTTGCACGTTTTGTCAAACAAGTAGAAAAGTAAGAAATTTCAATTTAGAATTTTTTAGGAGACGTTTCAACAATATTTATTGGAAATTTTCCGGGAGTTCAGTTTTAAATTCGCTTCTTTGAACTTTTTTTTTCCTAACAAAGCCTGTTCTTTCCACGGGACAAAGATAAGATATTCACAAAATGAAATAATGAAGGATGACAAAGAAAACAGTCAATAGAAAAGATGTCCAGCCTTTGTTCTGAGTTCCACAGCTAATAAAGTAAATGTCGTGCTGTCAGTAACACGAAGTGAATACGACAAGAATTGATAACAATGAGAGTTGGATGCAGATTTTGTACGCACAAAGAGTGACTTTTTGTATTCATTACCTTCGCTGGGATTTTCAAGTTAAATCTGCTTGGCATAGAAAGCTGCTTCACCAACCTTTAGTTTACTAAGTACGATGTTCTCTTTCCAAAAGAATGGAACAAAGTAATTTTAAGGATCTTATCTCTTATATTGAGCTTTCTGTTCCGGTAATGATGTTTGTTTTACGTGGCTGTTGAAATTTGAAACGGCTTATGTCAAGTTTCGAGTTAATCGGATCAGTTTAAGATCAAGCTTATCTAGAAATAAAGTAGACCAAATTAAAAGGAGTTTGAGAGAAAATTTGGGGCGTTATCTCTTAGCCTTTAGGGAAAAAAGGTGAAATAATATTAATTTAGGGCTTTACATCTACAAAGCAAACATATTTAGCATTGGCTATGTTCCGGCTGTTAGTAAAACAAAACGTTATTTGATAATTGAACAACTGAGATTTACTAGGGAACATTTAAAAGGTCAACAAGGAAGAAAAGGCTTGATTATAACAATTCAAAGCTACAGTATAAATGTTGAAGCAGTTTATCTTCGATTCCAAAATCAGGCATATCAACCCCGCGGGAGATATTTCTTTAAAACGTGACTTTTTTAGGTTCTTACCAGACTTTTTCATCTTTTGAGCAAAGTAACTAAATAAGAAACATTGCTTTCTTTACTACTTGTCTTCTATGAGCTCAATCCAAGTCACAGTTTTTCGTTTGGTTTTGTTTCGTTTGTTTTGTTTTTTTTTTTCGGCGAATTCCAAGAGGAAACTGCTGCAGGTCTTACAATAGGGACGCTTACATAAAAAGCTACAAAGAAGGTTTTCTTTACAGAATATCCAAATAGACGGACAAAAATTAATAACAAAGAAAAACAAAGCACAGTTTTGTTGCATACATTGTACGCCTTCAAACAGCGCCGGACGGAAATAATTGCAGACATTGGTAAATATTGAGAGCAGTATTTTAGACACATTTGTGTCATATTCTTGGCGAGTTTTGAAATTTATTTTGAAAAAAATAAGAGAGTTCATACTATACCAGCTATCAGATGTCCAGCTTTCCGATTCTCGTTGTCGAGAGAAACAGGAGATTTACAGACCTCAGGAAAAGTAATGATGGAGAAGTATTTCGAATTTTGTTTGGCGTGCTATAAGTACCCTGACCTTATAGGTCTCGTGGAATTGAATTACGTGATAGCGGGCTTATTTGCACATGGAACGAGGCGCGAATTTCTCACGCTAGCTCAAACTTGAACGGAAATTGTCGTATCATCTGTGATATATTTGATATCAGATGATCCTCAGTTTCCGCGGGTTAAAAGCTAAATTATTGTATTCACGACTCTTTATTAACACCCCACTTAATATATATACACAATGATTGCTTTCTAGCTGAAAACCCACGCTTAGTCAAGAGAGGTAAATAAGGAGAAAGATATTCAGAATTTACTCTTACAGAACATGGCCGAACGTAAATAAGCCTTGAGTAAAATCAGAGGGTTTACGAAAACTCAGGCTGAAACCTCTGAGATGTACAATAGCGAATTATTTCCAGAGAAATATCATTGAACTGTTATCAGCATCTTTCCTGATAGAATAAAAAAGTGTGTGGTGATACGAAAGATTTAAACAAATCTTGATTGTTTTTTCCATTAGTGCCGGTTTCCAATTTGATGTACCCTTTTCTTTTCCTTTCCTCTAAATTGAAGAGACCTACACAAACGAAACCTTGGAACACACCTTAAATAATACCCCCATAGACACAAAGTTCTCCACTTTCACTACACAAAAAAGAACAGTTTACTTCTTTACAGAGAAAACGAATTAAGTGATTGTGATACCGATTGTCATCACATGGTGACATGTATGCACACAAGCTTTCAGTTGAAACTGTGCGTGATGACTCTTGCTTCGTCTGCTTTTTACACTGTCAACTGAATTGTTCTTTTGATTATATATCAATCTTCGACTTCTTCCACCCCAGGTATTTTAAGTAACCCTGAAAGAATATTCTCTTCTCTGACCCCGCCCTAAACAGCAGGGAACGGATAAATTTATCTTGTTTAAGTGCTACCAAAAGTGATCCTTAATGGATCTCATCGTGCCTTTTTTCTCAGTTTCTTAAACAATTTTCTACGCCACAGAAAAAATTTTTAGGCATGAAACTTTTGATAAAAAACAACGCTTGCCACAAAATTACTCTACACAAAACATTTCTCATAGCTCAATGTTTCAAAATCTTCAGTCCTATATGTCTCTAATACGTGGAAGGTCACAAATGAACAATTACGGTAAAAAATCATTATTCCCATTCCTCAACATGGACAAGAATAGTACAGAAAAGTAGTCACTTCAATTTAACATTTTGACCGAATGCCAAGAGGCAATGCATGTAAAAAGAAAAGTGCACTAGTGTCTATGATACATGATTCTACCACAATGATTAAAAAACAAATATTGTTTGTACTTCAGTATCTTCTCTGTGAAGGTGAAAATCTCCGAAAAGCCGGAAATGGTCTTAAAAGATAGGAATAGAATGATGAACCTTATTACGCATGCCTCACCAAAAAAAAAGAAGGGCGCAAAGAAGGAGAAAAGAAAATTTCTGTCATCGGGACGTAAAGAACTGCACGCAATATTTCATGCACGGAATAAAGTGTAGTTGCAGTGCAAATAAACTCAAGTCCATATTGCAGTGAAGTGGGGATAAAATTAAATCCACGTCTTGGCAGTATAAGGTTTTTGCTCTGCTTAAAAAGCTTTTCCTCTCTTTTCTTCTGAATGTTTTTTTGTTTATATGTTTGTTTTTTTGTCTTTTGTTTGTTTTCTAGCGCGAAAAGTTGCGTTTCGGAAAATTGGATGCGGAATCAATGGAGAGGAAAAGGTTTCTTTTCGCTCTTCTTCAGCCGAGTCTAATCTAATATCGTTTTCCAAACTGGATAAAGGAAGGTTATGCTTTCACAGCTAACATCACATACTTTGCTCACGTTGTTTTTATTGTTTGGTTTAAACAGTTACACCCCTTTTGTGTCTTGGATATTTTAGCTTTTCAAATCATAAAGTTCACGTTATCCCGACAACAAGGGTATTTGATTCTTCTTCGAACTCGAATACGTGTTTAAACTGACACCTCACGCAAAAAAAAAAGCCGTGACAATCACGATTTTCCCGCGATCAAAAGACTCTCTGTAGTTATAAAACGGTGAGTCAAACATGGCGCATGCCACTTAAAAAATCTTACGAAATATGTTTAAAAAGTCCAAGATCCTACCTGTGAAAGGCCTCAAATGGTCAGTTATGCTCAAATATCATTATTCCGGACCCCCAACATTTTAAAGGAACACCGAATTTTCAATTTAATTTTGATATTATAATTGAATTCTGAGAGGGCATGCAGGTCAAACGAAACGTGCAGTGGTATGCATGTTATCAAATTCCGCCACAGCTGCAGTGATCAAAAATAAAATAAAATAAATAAATAACGCGAATTCGCAGCTTCTCTGTCAACCCGAAATTCTCCAAAAAGCCGCAAATGCTTTCAAAAGATAGAAAAAAAAATATGATAAACCCTACTATGCATGTCTCAACAAAAAAAAATAATAATAATGGGGCAAAGATGGAAAAAAAGCTAGAAAATCCGTCTCATTGGGTCTGTAAGCATTGCTCGCGATGTTTTAGGGAATGAAATGTAATTTCGTGAACAATTTACTTTCCATATTGAGGTAACGGTCGGAATTTGTCACAGAAGTGGTATTCCTTTTATTTCCTCCGCATACTTGTTGTTGTGTCTTTTTTTCTTCTTTCTTTTCTCGGAATGTTTACTCGTTTATTTATTTGTTGTTTGTTCGTTTTGTAATGATGAAAGTGGCTTTTCGGAAAACTGGACGCGGAATAAACGGAGAGGCAAAGTTCCTTTTCGCTACTCTTCGCTCGAGAACAGTCTCCTAACTTAAAAGGGGTCCTTGATCGCACATATTGCATGAAAGAGTTCGAACAATTCTCGCGTATGGTAGCCAATTATAACAGCGATGTGTCGATTTATGTGTCGAGGCGCGGAAAATTTGGTCTCAATATTTCAAGTCACACCTTACACACCAGCAATTACAAAAGTATACTGTAAGCTATTTCTACAGAGAACACGAAACCTTGTTTATATTGATAAATCCGCGCAGAAAAGCTAAATCATTTTTAGACTACAGTTGAGTATCTCACGGAATCGAACCCCTGGGAAGCGGTGATGACAAGGAAACATCCAGTCTTATTTACGTTCCCAAAAACGTCGGGTTGCTCGCTCGAATTTAAAACGTGTGATGATCAATAGGTTTCTCAACGTTCTTGACTGGACGGAAGGAAGCGTAATTCTTTATCCTTAGTCAAACGTTAAATGTTATCAAACGATATTTACAAGGGACTTCAGCTTTTAAAAGCAACACAGCATAGAGATTTCATGTTCCTTAGCGACAAAGTATGCTTTTGGGTTTTTAAAAGCTAGGTATTTCTTTTTTCTCAGACCTACCGTTATTGCGTTTTCTTGTTAATGAATACCAGCTGTAGTGCCTTCTTCATGAAGCTCTTTTGACTGTCCTTGTGTTGTATGATAGTCGTCTATATATAATTACAATGTCACAGAAATTTGATACAAGTTAGTGATGACGATTGAGTGTGAAAAATGAGGTTTCCCGTTGTTGCGAATTGTAAACTTTGACAGCGGATATGACAGAAATTTAATATTAAAGGATAATGATTGTGACGTGTGTTTGAAAAGAACGTGACTTTTCTTGGTCACGAACGTGAACTTAGATGCATATTCCGGCTGAATCTCTCTGAGATGTTACGAAAGTGCCGGAAGAACAGAGTCATACAATGCTAGAGTGTTAAGTATGATAATAATTCAATTACTCGCGGTAAGTATTGTTATAAACGTGCCGTTCAAGATACCTGAAAAAATGTAATTCCATACCAATGTAATGCCTTCAAAAGGGAAATTGTACCCTAAACTATAGAGAACATTATTCATCTCTTCAGTAGATTTCGAGCTCTAGTGTGAAGCTGACGAACATCCCTGTAAGAAAAGAGTTCCTAAACCAAAGAAGACAGATCTGGGATTAGCCAGTTCATTTGACCTTGACAAAAACCGTTAACGTCTCATTATAAATAATCTGCTTGAGAGCATAATCTGTGATGTGTATCACGAAGCATGACAACGGGAAATTCCGTCGTTCTTTTTTCTTCATTCTTATTTCCTGAAAGCGTTTACAAACTTTTAATATTTCGAATCCTCTTTTCGTGCTCTACTGATGCGATTTTTGCTCTCTGAGCGTGCATTGTGGCGTTGGTATCTGTGTCCGGAGGATATTTGTTTATGAAGCTAATTTAATGAACGCTAAACGGTATACCTACATTTCAACTTAGTAATGGTAACGAGTCCTCTGTAGGTTGGCGATAGAGCATCGGAACCGTGCGAAATCGAACGTCTTTTAGGGTTCAGTTCCTCTCAGGTGACATAGACGTGATCGTTAAAAAAACATATCACCGCACTCTCATAAAATAATCATCTTCCTTACTCTTACTCTGTGCTGAAAAACCAGTGAGCGCGCAAAGGGTGAAGGGATTAGGCAGGAGGTTGCAGCGATACAATGAGTAAATAGTTGATCTTCTCAAATTAATCGCAACCAAATTCAGTTATCGCAGAAAAAGAAAAAGCCGAAAAAATGTATCCAGCGGGATTGAATCGCTACTTTCAAATGAACTACGATGCCGTACTTTTCATTGGAGCGAGGCAATTTTTTTTTCTATTTTCTTTGCTTCCATCAAATGGCTTCTAAGCTAAACTAGATTCTGTAAGGCACCGGTATGGCTCAATAACAATTGAAACGTGACTTTCTACAAAATTCTTTCCCTGCGATGACCTTTCTTCCTGTGAAGTTGTTAAGAACAATTCGTTTCTTCTTGTCCGCTTGTTAACGCATGTTTTATTTCATATATCTCTTCACCTGATTGTGCTATACATTAACGAAGTTAAATCGCAAACATTCTGTTGCACTGAGTATTAGAATTTACTACACAGCAATAGTTTTGTGAACTAAAAGCTCATCAATTGCATGAAAATATGATAAGAACGTCACATCCCACATTCACATGTCCGTAAAAAAGCACATGCGGTTGGTAACGCTCAGAGAAAACAACAAACATCGTTATATTGGTGACAAATAAATAGTACTTTTTGGTAAATGTCGTGTGTTATTAAATTTAATGAATTAAATGTTTTAGCAGCAGACGATTACTTCAGCGTAAATTAAAGGAACTCAACTATATGTTTTATTTTTAAAAGTACACTCGGCCGGACACGGATACGGAGTTTGTTTGGGTAGCCTGTGGTTATGTTTGGTAATGTAACTGAAACAGTTGAAGTCCACATTGAAGGCATGACTTGAACCCATACTTCTTCAAGTCAATATACACGGGCGCTGAACCGTTCATCTTCTGCTGCTGATCCTTTTTTAAGCGCAAATGAGGGGAAAGCTTGTCATGTTCAAACGCAACGATAAGGACGACGGGAAGGGTTCCTGCTTATCTCTCCCGCGCTCCTCCTTATATAAAGATGAGATGACTGGCGCCGGCATGGCTTGGGACGAGTCAGACCCAGGCGGCCTAACCTATATAAGCTAATATGGGTCAAATTGAAGATGACGTTTTCGCATTGATAACAAGGTTTTTTTTAATCATTATTGTTGTCATGCAATTGAAAGGTTTCTGTTGAGATATGATGAAATGAAATGCTTTTTGGTCGTGCAAACCTTCGCTTAAAGTGCCTATGACACGATATTTAGCTTATCATATGTACATGTACAAACTAGAAAAGAAAGAAAAGTTTCAGAAATCTTAAAACTCGGTTTTTTCAGGCCCTAAAGTATTCTTATTTTATCTCAAAAGTGTCTCGTAGACCAATAACGAATTAGCGGGTGATGATGTAGAAAACTCTGAAAACTCTCAATCGACTTTTGTATCAGTCAGCGTTGAAATGCTCTTGAAATAATATCCGACAGCGATGTATACCTACCTTCAGCAAGCTCTACCGAGAGTTGTGATACATCGTACTCAAAAACTAGCGAAGAAATGGAAGTTGTGAGTACGGTTCAGCCCTACGAGGGAGAACCGCATGCATCAAACGAAGATTTCGACCAAGACTGACCATGACGGTTTCTCGCCTGCGGTGTTTAGGTCAAGATTAGAAAAAAAATTCCCGTTACTGAATGTTTAGTTTGCTGCGTTTGTGTTTTGTTTTCTATGGCAAAATCTATGTTAAGAATGGGTAGCTGTGTTCATTCCTGTTGCCATAACATGCATCGACTTTCACTCAGCACTTGTTTTCACCGCCATCTAATTCAATATGCCTGTATCCGCCGGAGGTTTCGCACTGTTCAAGCAACAGGATATCGGTCAGCTCAGGAAAAGGCTTGAACTTCATTACAAATGATGTATTTTTGTTATTAAAATACGATGGAACTACAATTGGTAGGATTTTCATACGATAAGAAAAGCGCAGTATGACAAGGAATATGAGTACATCTCAAGCGCGTGAAATAAACAACAATAAGGAGCTCACCATTTTTTCGCTTGCGAAATGTCAGCTGGAAGGAATGTTGAACAATCGTGTACGGTGTGGGAACAGGCCCCTTGATCAGCATTCTTTTTAGCTGAATTCATTGGTTATCTTCCCTTGATTTGACCAGTGGTATGCGTTCGTAACAGGCATCTTCGAAGCCGCTACGGAGCATAAGGCCGACGACATTGAAGAGTAAATCTCCACGATGTCGACGATCAAAACGCGTCCATTTTGTCCATACAGCTAAATCCTTTGGAAAGTAGTGTATAGCAATACCTGTTATATGTGCATTACCCTTGTAGCTAACATCATTTGGCGCTCCGGCCTCGTAATACTTTCGTTCTTTCTTCTGGATTTCTCCTTTCTCCACCATAGTCAGCGGTGTGTCTTCACAGTTTTGTACGTCACAGCTATGTAACATGATCGTTTTGGCCGCGCGCTAAATGGGGACGCTTTTTGGCTGCCAAATCGTACTTTCAATACACAAAAAAATGGCGGAGAACTCGCTAGGCGCTAAGGTCGATCATTTCTAATTTTAAATACAGCTATTAACCAGAAAATGCAAAAGAAAATCTCGAGTCATAGGCACTTTAACACTAAGAGCTTTCAGTACGAAGCGATTTTAAAAACGCTTATTCGTGAAAAACACAGAATGTTAGTCTGGTCCGTAACGCCTCGGATGGATGGTCAGTTGCTATGCATTTTGTAAGAATTTTAAAAGATTACTGTCGCAACACTTAGTGAAATTTTCTGTCTCCTCCCAAAATTTGGTTATGAAATCCCAAAATAAAAGCGATACCCATGTCCTTGGAGATGAGACAACACCGTATTTGAACCGAAAAGGCATAATTGTGGCAGGGGTAACTTTAACTTCTGAATGATTTTGAATTAAACTTGCCGAACGTCCTCTACATGCAAATAAGCGCATGAACATAACATCCGACAATATGAAATTTGAGACCTTTTAAACATCCCTTACCTTGGCTATGGAAAACGTCACCAAATTCTCAAGTGACTCACATCACAAACAGCAATCCACTTCTCTTGTAACCGTTTATCTTCATGAAGCATTGACGATTGGAGGACGACAATCGACCTCTCTCGTGCATTCAAGAAAAAAATGTTGTCCTTACATACTGCCTCCAGATATGTTTTGCGATTTGGTCACTTATTTGCTTCATATCCGCTTTTCGGAAGTACCTTTGTTTTGAAAACCTGGCAAGAAATGTCTTAGATGTCAATTTTCGACCAATGAGCTGCTCTAATATTGTTTCGACGATTTTCATTGTCAATGATCCACTCCAAAATTAATATTGAAAGTAATATTCGAGATGCTTTAAGGTTTTTTTACAGATTCCTTCTTGGCCGAAATTTTTCTCAGCATTAAGTTTTGTCCAGTCTTGATTTCATAGCAACAGACTGCAAGCTGAAAATCGCCTTTAATCGTTCAAAAACGAACAATATTTAAAAGCATATTGTTAGGAGGTGTTGGAGATATTGATTAGGCCTTTATTTTAAAGAGTTCATCATAAATGTTTCAGTTTACCAATATACAGACCTAACATTTTCGTATGCAAATGTGCACGTCTCAGTTTTGAAACTAGGCTCCTAAGGTCTCTAGGCGGTTTTCTACTCACACAATTTGAACCTTTGAATACTTACACTGTCTCTAGATTTCAAAGTGCTGAAATAACTCTTTCTCTCGAGTTCCTTACGTAAACAAACCTGTAGTAATAATGTAATCAATACTGTGATCCAGAGATAAACATCACCGATAGCTGTGCATGTTGAGAACGATACTGTAGACGTTTATATTGGTGAGAAAAGTTAGAGTGCCGAGGTGAAAAGAAATTGTTTCTTTTTTTATGTTTTTTTCCTTTTTTTCTGAGTGTGAGACTATGGTACAAACCGTGCGATGACAAAAAAAAAAACCCTGCTCTTGCCTTTTTCGATGCAAAAATGATATATCATAAGGAAGGTCTTCAAACACAGATTTACCTTCATCCAGAAAACACTTTCTTCAGCTTTTATGGAAAATAATTTTCTGTTGCCTATACATATGGTTTCTTGCCTGGCAACAGTCTACCACGTACTGTATTCTATCATGATGTATGTTTCCTTGTATTTCACTCTTTGCTATTAACCACAGTAATCAGAACGAATTTGTTATCAGTAATTCTACCTTTAAATATGAAATACGATCAAGATGGCTGCCCTAATATTAACCAGTGTTCATAGAGGTGGTGCGTAAACTTCCTGGGAGAGCACAGTCAACAGCTTGCGACACTCTGCCGCATCTGGTCGATTGTGGGGTTTTCCATCCCAGCAACGCTGCATTAGATCTTGCCAGCCAGTTGGAGGCTTGATCGCGTCTTGTACATATGAAGGTCTTGCACCCTCTTGGTCCGACACATGTTCCGCTTTTTCAAGGAGGGCTCTCTTACCATACCACATCTCCCAAAGCATTATACCAAAGCTGTATATGTCAGCCTTAAGCTTGTTATCGTACTCTTCGCAAAAGATCACTTCGGAGGCAAGATAGGCATCGGTTTCCATTGTCTTAGTCTCTTCAGAAAGGCGAAAACCAGAGACCTTAACGACGTTTCTTTCTGAAAGCTATGAAAAGAGGTGAATAATGAGCAAAGTTGTTATAAACATAAAAATATTTTCGGGCCTTTTAGGAGCTACAAGGTCTCTTCTGCAAAATTGACTGGAAGCACTCGCAGTTCGTCACTCGACACCGCGAACTGTTGATTAAAGAGTACTTAAGCGGAATTTAACAACAATTACATTTAATTTGTAAGTCTTAATTATTTGACTAACGTATTAGATAATTCATGATGAACTGACCCTCACAAGAAGACTCAAATCGAAGCAACTGTAGAAATTAAATTCAGACTTATTTGAAACTCACCAAAATTTTCTCCAGCTTAAGTCTGCGGTGAACAATGCCCTGGTTGTGTATGAACTCTATGGCAGCAGCTATGTCCTTTGCCCAGCACAGTACATTTTTCTTAGCGGAGGTTTTTTCAGAAAATCCAGGAATATTATCAGGATTCTGAAAAATATGATTCATCAAGTTTTCCTCGCAAGATTCAAAAACATGGATCACCCGCAATCGATCGTCTTCCTTCAGCAATGCTGTCCCAAAGAACTTGACAATAAAGGGAGAACCAAGCTTCCTGTAAAAGATATAGTTGCATTGACCTTTATTCAAGTTCGATAGGATTTCAAAGTACCCGAATATTTCGGCGTTTTTCAACTGCTATGTTATCATACCGATCTAACTAAAGTATCTAATTTTCTATAGTTGTAAAATCCCATTAAATTCTTCTTTAGACAGCCCTCTTTTTTTTCATTCGATACTCAGAGTAACTAACCTCAGTGTTTCTGTCTTAGAAAGGAAGCCAATCGCGGTGGATTCGTTTAGTTCTTTACTCCATAATTTCACAGCCACCTGTGTTGGTTCGCTCTGTCCAGGTAACCTGAATGTTCCTCGATAAACTGAAGCGAATTCTCCATTTCCGAGAAGTGAAGTTGGATCGTCTCGATCCCACTCCAAGTCGTTACGACTTATTTCCATGCTCTGTAATTCTTTAATGGAAAAGAGGGCCATCTTTTCCTTTTCTCTAACACTCATCTCTTCTAAAGGGCCATATAATTCTTTTATTTCCTTCTCAGAGCGAATCTCATCTCTGAGCTGCTGGCATAGTATTTTGTCAGCGACTATGAGCTCGCGCAAACAAGATGATACTTTCGTAAGGTAAACCTTAACATCTTTGAGCTCCTTCTCCACGAACAACCAAAGGTGTTGCTCTTGAGCCACACTGCGAAGGTATTCACGGGAGGCTTGCACGATAAAGCTCTGTTTGTCTTTTTCGTATTTTCTCGAACGTTTCCAATTTGTTACTTTCTCTTTAAGTCTCCTAATACCCATGAATGGGACGCTGCCAACTAAAACTGCCAGGCCGACTGGAACCCAAATTGGACTTGTCAGCCCGATCATAACTTTTTGGGCCTCGCTGAAGTCATTTGAAGACTGGCAAGTATGTGATCCACTAGCACCAGCATCCGTGATGACGGAGTTTTTTAGGTATCGGAGAGGTAGTAGACTCTTAGTTTTATCAAATCGCTGGTGGGAAAATTGGACCAGAGATCTGCAAGAGTGGGATAAAATTTGGTTTTTTTCTTCCCACGCGGTAATCGTGGTCTGAAGTCGCTTCATAAATGCATCTTGGATAAGATGTTCGGTCACCTCCCAACTTTCTCCAGCGTGTGGAATATCATCAAGCGTCCACGAGGTAAATTGTTTCATAACTTCGCAAGACTGGAGGTGGTTGGACAGTACCCTAACGGCGTCGTCTGCCAGTTTTCTGAAATACTCTTGCAACTCGTATTCAATTGAGCACAGGCGCATCTCAACGTCACGAAGGCGTTCAAAATGTGAAGAGACGATTTTACGATCGGTGGAAGGGCAATGATCCATGACCATTTTCATGTGGTAGGCCATACGTGAAATGGCTAAGTCAAGCCACCTGATCATGAGAGATGAAAGTATACAGACTACAAGTTCATTTTTCACCAAAATGTTTATTGAACTTATTCTTTATCATTCCATGTGGGCGAAACTTCAAGATATAAACAAGTCTGATAACAAACTAGGAAGAAATTCATTGCTAAATTCATGGCGATTTTGAGCGTATCTAGGCGTTAAGGAATCCGGCTTTTACCCAAAGTTTCCCCATAAAGCACTTTGTAGTAGCCACATAGAGAAGTAAACCCCACAATTTTCTATGCCTTTGCGTATGTGTAAATTATAATTTTCACTGTGCACATGAGTGAACCTCATTAAATCAAAACAATTGGGCAACATAACTTGGTCTTTTTAATAAGATAGGAATGCATTTAAAATAGTGCATCACTTAAGGTGTAAATTGGGGCCACAATAACCCCACGTAGCTTTTTAAGATCCTCCATAGTCATAACAGAACGTACCTCCACTGCATTTGCAGCGTTTCTTTATTGCTTTGCAAGGCGGTGGATTTAACAGCATCCATCAGCGACGCAAACTCCGCGACGGCTGTGTCATCGTTTGTGGCGTAAGGCGATGAAATGAAAATGGTTTGGGAATCTGGGTCTAATTCAGGCCAATATTCTCTGAGTTGAGATAATTGGTCCCAATTGTTACATAGGAAAAGAGGAAAAATTGAGGAGGTTTCCAGATGGTCAAGACATAATCTTCTGCATTGTTTGATTGTTTCTTGCATCTAAGGACAAACGTGCACATGGAGTTGAAAATTCCTTGGCGGTAACTATAATAATTCTTATAATAATAATCATAATAATGATAATAAAACATATTTATAATCCCTGCTATGGAACTGTTCGGGTGCGTGAACTCCACTTGTCCATACAGCTTACCCTTTGTTGCTGTGCTGAACTGTCAATAACGCAGAGAACTGCGAAAGCTTCAGAAAGGTACGCCTTTACTTTCTCCTCCACAATGCGTGATTTTTCAAATCCTGGACTGTCAACTACAACGATTCTTTCCTAGTAGACATAACGATGAGAAGTGAGTGAATCTTAAAACAGGTTAAATTACTCTTTTTTAATGAGTATTTTTTGTAATTGTTGTTGTTGAAACATTTATAGACGTTTTTCTGATCAAGAAATCAAGCTACATCAATGCTCCTATAGGGTTAGATTGCGAACGAAAACGATATATGTTAGGTGTCAAAGCTAATCCGTTCATCAAAATTATATTGCAAGACCTAATTTGCCAAGAATATTGCTAGATGGAAGCTTTTAGCAACCCTCAGCTCACAATTTACAATTCATGCCCTTAGCTTGCTAATCACCAACCTTAAGTAAGTTGTTTGGCCAAAAGATCTCAATCTTATCAAAAACTGAACCTTGGAGATCTTCATTTTGGAAAAATGAGGAAATTTTTTGAAGAAAGATTTGCTGAGAGTTCACAGCCATCTCGCTAAGTTGGATAGTCTTTGAGAAAAGGCCTGTTTTAGGATCTGCGTCTTTATAGTGTACTACCAGCCCAGGGGTTTTTCCATATCTTAGTTCGCAGATAATGGAAGAAGTGGTAAGAAAGGAGTCAGGAAGGAGTTGTTCCCCAAGAATC